AGGAGGAGGGAATGTGATAGGTGCAGTGCAAGTCTACTACCACTTTAAACTAACTCACGGGCAAGTCACCGTCCCCGCTCTCACCCTGCTGTCGAGCATAAGATAGACACCATCAGTCACGATGGCCGGACTACTAGTTCAACGCTCTAATCATTGAGCCACGAGCTCACTGTCCTGTCGATTGCGATCGGGTATTTTAACTATACTAGATAGTGTTCACCGGTCGCGTCACGGAGCGAGAAGTCCCCTTGTCCATGAGATCCAAACAAATACTTTTGCTGAGGCAACGGACTTTTATTCAGAATATTGCTACCGACAAAGGCAAGTGAGACTGGAATGACCATTTCTGGCTTATCAGCCGTCGTCAGCCAGTCATTCTCAACCCCGAAGTGTGGAACGCCCGAGGCTCGAACTCGCGACCTGTTAGTTAGAAGTCCACGCCTATAACCACTGGGCCATGAGGCTGTTGTCCTGTCGATTTCGATCGGGAGTATACAATGGTAGGGGCGCTCACCGTTCCGTAAGAATGGTCGGTGGGCGTCCTTTACCATTGAACTTTAATTCGTCTGTCGTTTCTGTCAGTATATCAGTTGCCATGAGTCTGACATTCCGTTTGGATCGGCTGCCGTCCTTTCCTCCATTCCTTGAGACTCCTGTTTACACGGCTTCTAATTCGATGTGTCGACTAATGCACGAGCCCCCATCCCCCCTATCTCAGAGGCAGAAGAGATCACACATCAGACTGAAGCGGTAGTTCGGAGAATTCTCGCCGTTCTGCCTCCGAAGCCAGCCTTTGTTGTCTTCACCTCTTTCGCTCATACTGCCAGTCTTGCGTTATTTTCGGGTGTTGAGAGCACGACCTTTGTCCTGTCTGTAGGTCGCTGACACCCTAGTGATCATCCCCCTCTGGTCTGGATGACTGGCAGACCTTTGTCCCCTTGTGGTAGTCGCGCCGTGGGAACCGATTCGGTCCTGACTTTGCAAGCCAGCATGCGAAGGGCGAGGTTTTTCATTGGCGCCAGGCCGTCCAATGAGAAAGCGTGATTCTATGCAGCCACGGTGCGAGCCAAACCAGGCGAGATTACGCGACAGAATAACCCATGAAATGATTTATGCCCGATAGCATGCTGGCGCTCAGTCAATCAGGCAGACATTATCAGCGCATACTGAGATGCAACACGAGGTTTAGCTTGTTGAAATGGCAACCGGAATTCTGAATTGAGTTTTCAATTAGGTGGGGCTGTAATATCGATTGTCGTTTAACGGAATCCCAAGATATTCCAGCTATGCCAGGATGACTGATTTGGAGTGGGCTTCTTTCCCGCCGTCGACAGACACCACACTCAGTAAAGAATTATGTGGTAGGAAATTTCATCACTGATTTTCGATGTCCTTTAAATTCAAATATAGTCTATAGAAAAAAGGGCTTGATCGCAGTTGATAGCCAGGAGTAGGAAAGCGGACGGCAACCTTAACCCTAACCTTAACCCTGACCCTGACCTCGACCTTAAACGGTAACCGTTAACCTTAACGGCACCCTTAACCCTAACCGAAATCATAAACGTAACCGTAGTCCTTAGACATAGCCCTAACGGAAAAACCTAACCGCAATACTGAAACCTAATCGTACGCTCAAACCCTAACCGAAAACCTAAGCCTAAAGGCATAACCCTAACCCGAAAATCGGAAACAAATAACCGGAACCCTAACCTCAAACGTAAAACGGAAGCCAAATGGGTCAGATGTGATTATGGAGCCCCAAAAAATAGCCCCAGGAAACCCCCCCCCCCCCAGCCACCTGTAATACGGGGCCTGGCTATCATCTGCGATCTAGCCGAAAAAAGAACCACGAACATATAATTTCTTAGATAGTTCGACCGTCGCTTCCAACTATGTCCACCGTATACCTTACAGCAAAGTGAAGCAGGCACGGTGACTTGTGCGTGAATAAGTTCACAATGATAGCCGACTTGCACAGGATCTGCCGCACTCTCTCCTCCCGCCCTGCTACCGGGTCCGGTGTCAAGACATAGTCAAGAAGACCGGAGGCGGGGAAGGGCTCAGGTGGACGGCACTGTCGAACCCGCACCTTGGCGCTCCACTTCACACCCTCTGGTTCACATAGCAAATGACCAGGATTTTGATCAACACCAAAAAGGAGGGGGGGGGGGGGCGGGGGCCCTAATGTGCGCGAACTCTGTCGGCAAGTGGGTCTGCCACCGCAACCCGAAAGGCTGACATCTGTAATGATGTGCATTCCGATAACGCCTGCCAGCATCCGATGTGGCCCTCGTGTCGGTCCAGCACATCCACCACGTGGCCCGTTTGGAGAGACAATCATTTCTTTCACACATTTCGTAAAACATTACGTCCTCGTCCCGATTGATGCTTTAAGAAGGGCTATTTTCAGGTCCTAGAAGCTTGTAACTATGAAGTTTTTAAGACTGCGAGATGCCCACCCGTAAAGTGTTGCGCCAGTACGTTCATGTATGCTGCTTATGAAGTATATGACATGGTCCACATCCATCGCAAAATTTTATAGGTCCCACGTGATAACGCGTAGGGACCAAGCGGTGAGAGTTTGCACTTAGAGCGCTACAATCATCAGGTCAAATCCCCACTTGTAATGAGAAGACAAGAGGCACCGGAATGAAGGGTTTATGGATGGATGCAAATATGCGAATTCCAGCTTCTTGTTGTAAAGAAGATGAAGACCCGATCTCTGGGACAGTAGGTTTATTAGTCTGAGCTTTCGGTCTCGTACAGGAGGCCATCGTCAGAGACTGTGAGAATGGGACATCAAATGAGCGGTTTTGTAGTCAAGCCACGAAGGAGGGGGAGAGGAGAGATATGAGTGCAGAGGGTGGTATTCGCGATAAGTTGAGTCCTACGCCGTCTCACGATGGCGTGACTGCGTGCACCCTTGGCTGGAAATTGGGTTTGTATGCAGAACTCGAGGTTGTCCTCTCAAGCGGCAGTGGTCGCTGGCGAAGCTAGTGTCGGCTGCGTCCAGTCATGCCCGAGAGTGGTGGCAGCCGCTTTTATAGGTTCGTGGGTCAAGCTCAAGTGGTCTCCAGTCGGCGTGTGTTGCATTTGCCAAGGGGTGGTGTCCCAGCGGCTTAGGCTGTGGTTGCAGGGGAGAAGATGCGTTCAAGTGGCCGCATGGGCATCTGCGACTTTGTGGACGCAGGTATGTCCATAAAGTCGGCCGATAGGCTTCAAGTCAGCGCGCGTCTGGAACGGCTCACTGCAGGGGGTAAGTGACCCGGAGGCAGCGACTACTTGCACAATGACGCTAGACTGGCCATGCTGGCTGCCTGCATCGAGTCTTCTTAGTAGTGTAAAGGGATGCACGAATCTCCTCACACGGAAAGTTTGCGGCATGCTGTCTCGGCACCCTAAGCCCAAATACAACCAAAGGTCGGGTTAAAAGTTATTCGGGGTAAAAAAAGTCTTTAAAACCGACAGATGCTCTCCCTCTCTCTCCAAGTGTAAAATTGGAAACACATAAGTGCCTACCAAGTGAGCACAAGAAGGAATATTTTTGTGCATGTTTTCTACAAAGTGCATTTAAACTTACAAGGACAACAAAATTCGATGGAAAACTCAGGCTACGTAAATAGTCATTGTTTGCTGACTGTGGCTTGTGCAGGCAGCTGGAAAGATGCGCATTCTTAGCATGCCTGAGATACTGTGGCATTATGCTACACTCTAATCAGTACTACAGCCAAACCTAGGCAATTATTTGTAATGGAAAACGCTGTAAGGATAGGTTATGTAACCCCACTGGGTTTAGCATGTATAGGTAACTACTATATTTGTTTTAGAAGGCCTTGTTTTGTTTATTAAGCCATAGCTACAGGAAGTTCCGCTTTGCATGTTGTCTAATGCTTTGATATAACCGCATGCACCGAGTTAGCATGATGTTTTCGCTCCCCATCCCCGTAATCCCTTTGTCTTATCTTGATTTACTAATTACCCCAATGTATAGTGCGTGACAGATCTCATGAAATGTTGGCTGAAATTCCGAAATGCGTTTTCGATTAGGAAGGATTACTTGGTCGTGGTTGTATAACTGACTATCTTGCAGCATAATCTTATAACATTTCGGACTCGGCAGGATGTCAGCTTTTGAATACACTGCTTTTCAATCTCCTGTAGAAACCGTACTCGCAAAAAGTGGCTACCTAAATAGCATGCATTTTCCCCACTGATTTTTGACGGTCTTGCAAATTCAAATATATCTCATAGAAACCATAAACAAAAATATGTTTCCTTTCAGTCAATTAATAGAGAATCATCTCTTTGTTATACTTTAGACTCAGGGAAGGAGTATAATTAGGTTTTAAAAAAGTTTCTAATTATAAGATCTTTTAAGACCGTGCAATGTCCATTCACATAACATCGTACCTGATCGTTTACACAGCTCCTCATGAAATGTACAACATAGTCCGCATCCATTGTAAAATTTCATGGACTCTGTATGATATCTTTTTAATGGCATAGAAAAATATGTGATTTTCTTTACGCGGAACGCATGCACCTTGTAGACCGAAATCACTAAGCGCCAATGCAGCGAATGATCAGGCTCCAAATTATCCGACAATTAGAAGACTTTTTAAAACCTAATTATACTCCTTCCTTGAGTCTAAAATATAACGAAGAAGTCAGTCTCTATTAATCGACTGAAAGGAAACATATTTTTGTTTATGGTTTCTATGAGATATATTTAAATTTGCAAGACCATCAAAAATCAGTGTGAAAAATGCATGCTACTTAAGCAGTCATTTTTTACCGAGTACGGTTTCAACAGGAGATTTAAAAGCAGTGCATTCGAAATCTGACATTATGCCGAGTCCGAAATGTTATAAGGTTATGCCGCAAAATAGTCAGTATTACAACCGCGACCAAGTAATCCTTCCTAATTGAAAACGCATTATGGAATTTCAGCCAACACTCATGAGATCGGTAACTTACTGTATTGCCTTTCGTTGTCGATTCCGTACGCCGTGACTTATTTATTTCTTCCGGAAGAGTAGTTAAACCTAGGCGATCTGTAAGGATCGCCAGTTGCGTTTTGGTTTACTTTGCCCCGGTTAGAACACAAACAATCCGCCTGCTCGATATCTCTGAACGGTTTCTGTTGTCGAACGCGTGAGCCCGACTTATTCATTTCTTTAGGAATACTTCTGCATTGCACTCTCATAAACAATAATAAGACAGCTCAATTTGATTTAGAGGTGGGGTTACACACCCTACCGTTGCCGAAAATACCTTTCAGTATTTCGGTTAACATTCCGTGAAATAGACCAGATACTCCACACGCTGCCTCTTCGTTGAAAACAGTCCGCTTCATAACCACCTAGAAGGGCTTTTTCAGGCTTCCGAAATATTGAAATAAACGCTTACCGTGGCGTTAATTTTCCAGCGGCTTCAATTAACTTTTGGATATTAGACTACACGAATAATTATGTAAATTTCTGAAAAGTCTCCATGAGAGTAAAACCTTTTAAAATCAACGTTGTTCCTTACCGCCCGAGCGACACTTTAACAAGACGGAATTTTCCACAAACTGGGTTTCGCAGATGTGCATCGACAATCAAAGGAAAAAAACCCTACCTACGTAGCAGTTGTTACACCCACTGTGACTGGTAGATATGGTTACGAAGATCCTCGGTCCTGAGGCAGGATGGCATAATATATAAAAAGGGGTTGAACGTGCAAAGCCGTACTGCAAGTTCAGTTGGCCAAGTTAAATGTTCCGGCAAATGAGCCATGTGATTGGTGGGCGTCTAGCGCAGTCCTACAGGCAGTCGGCGCCATTCCAAATCACGTCTTCTGAGGAGGCGCCTAGCGAAAAATGGAGATAGCATGCCGCTCACCCCCTGCCTGGCACTCTATCCGACGCCGCAGTTACTTAGGTGACCTCACCATTGGCCCGGTAAACGCACGCACACCGGTGCTAATTAGAATCGGATCGGCCACGGCCTCTGCCCCAACCAGCCCCTCCGCTCCCCCCATAGCTGACAGGCACCTGATTATGACGAACGGGTGTCTGCATCATTCTCTCGAACGAAACAGACCACCAAGTTCCACCGAAGGTCTGGCAAGTGCTGCCACTTATCGGCAGAGTCAGAGAAAGGCGACGGTTAAAAAGGCCACGAATTAGAGGAGAATGCAAAGGAAGGAAGCATGGGAATGATAAAGTTATTCTAAAGCTTTGACCTATCGTCTACGACTTGCGGTTAATGGTAACAGAACTTCATAACAGGGTATGATGGGGAGGAAGGCATGTTAAACAGCGTTCCTTCGCCTATGTTTCAACGTCCTCTCAGCGGAAACTTCCTCTCTGCTCGTTGGAGCTTACGACTCGGTCCTAGGCACATGCAAAAATACAAATAGTCATGCTTGAAAGATAAAAACACTAAAGACAAACCCGGCTCCGCCTGCGCTGATCCGCGATTAGTAGGCTCCTTCTGAGAAATAATTGATTTCTGTCCGGCAACGACGGAGCTTGATGAGTCTGAAGGCAGCCATGAATTGTCCCTGAGGGCCTTGCTGCGGAGGTTACGGTCCAGCCACCATTAGATCAGACCTCCCCGAATTTAATGACCATAAAAGCTGTCAAAGTAGTATGGGCCTTGGGGGCGCTTGTTGGTGTAGTCTCTTTGGGAAATGTTTTCTCCTGCAAGTGACCGACTGGGTAGTGTTCGATGGCCAATGTGACAATTAAACCTCATTGCTTGAATGGATGGACTTCCGCGCCGAGGATCTACAATGAATGTGTTCTTGCTGGAATAGGAAAATCGTCTTCAATATGTGGCAACGGTAGGGTGGAGGACACTTCATAATTCATAATTCTATAATAATTCAGTTACCCCAGGATGCAGGCTTTCAAACGAACTTCCTTCCGGCTGCATGCAAAAACTGCACTCTGGAAAAATGACTACCTCAGTAGTACGCATTTTCTCATTGATTTTCAATGCCCCTAAATGTCCAATTATACTTCATGGAAAACATGCATAAAAATATTCCTTCTTTTGCTCATTCGGTAGACAATTACTTCTTCTTCTTCGAATTTTATACTCAAAAGAAGGGTATAATTCGGTTTCCAAAAACTTTTCCAATTCCCGAATAATTTTGAACCTGACCTGCCGTTACACTCGCATTCAGGGTTTCGAAACTACAAACCATACATTTTCCGCGTACGGAAAACCACATTTCTCTAAAGTAATAAGGGGGACCATATAGGGGTCATAAAATTAAGCAGTGAATTTGATCCATATTGTTAAGTTTACAAGCCACATTGTTAAGTGCAGAGACATGACGATTTATGAACGGCCATTTCACGGTATTTAAATGTCCCACAATTAGAAACGTTTTTAAAACCGAATTATACCCTTCCTTTGAGCATAAAATTGAGATACGACGTAATTTTCTACCGAATGAGCTAAATATTGAATATTTTTATGCATGTTTCCCATGAAATATAATTGAATTTTTAAGGGCATCAAAAATCAATGAGAAAAATGCATGCTACTGAAGTAGTCATTTTTTACAGAATGCAGTTTCTGCGTGCAGCCGGAAAGAAGTTCGTTCGAAAGCCGACATCCTACGGCAACTGCATTATTATTAATTAGTCTTTTAAAAACGAAAACGCATTTCAGCATTTCGGTTGAAATTTCATGAGTTAGCCCACATACTGTAGGTATATGAAGCATTTTTCAAATCCCCACAGAATTTCGAGAGACGATTAGTCACGGCAAGTTTGAGACAGAATATGTAGGCGATCTTTACAACGTGCAGTATGTGGGCTATCTCATGAAATGTTGATCGAAATTCTGGGGTGTGTTTTCGACTAGGAGGGATTGCTCAGGCGGGGCTGTAATACTGATTGTCGTGCAGCCTAATCCGAAGCTATTTCGGTCACATCAGGATAACGGCTTTCGAATGAGACTCTTTCCGGCCGTCTGTAGAAGATAGGTAGCTCGGTAGAAAATGCTACTCATCCAGCATGACATTTCCTAATTATTTTTAATGTACCTATAGGTTTATATATACTTCATTGAGAAAAAAACACACCAGGGTATAATTTTTTGCACCCAATCCGTGACAAATAACTTCTTCTTCCATTGTTATACCTTAAGAAAGGCTATCATCAAGTTTTGAAAGGTTTATAATTAGGAGCCTTTTAAGGCTGTGAAATGTCCACTTATAAAGCATCGCAGCAGTAGATTTATTAATGCTGCTGCTGAAGTATACAACATCGTCCACATCCATTGCATATCAGCTGCATGTTTGGGCGAAAACATATTAAGCAACGGCAGGGTGAAAGACCCCAAGTAACTGTCGGTAAGCTGTGGATCTTAATGGGGGATCTTATGGGTGAGGCAGTGCCCCGGACAGAAAGCTGACTGAATTCAAGAAAACAAAGAAGAAGGTCGGTGTAAAAACGATACTTTCGAATAAACTGATGAATGTATGCAGATACGGTATCCAGTTGGGCATTCCTTGGTGTCCCATCTTGAAGGGGTGCCTGACCATCGGACAACTGATCCTACCCCTGGCATACATTTCCGTTATTCCTCAATACAGGGTCAGTTTATCTTCACATTTTGCTTCTCAGCTCTCGGGTTCAACCGCCAGTCATCAGTAATTAACTAGATTTCGCAAGTACATGCATCAGGACACCATCCGTAGTCTACTGACAGCTAACTGGGGTCCTTAGCCCTACCGTTACTCGATTCCGTGTTGATTTTGGGCTGATCCGCAATCCCTGTTAGTGCTGGGGCCTGTTGGTGGTCTACTGTACGCCCCATTTGTCGGCGTCTGTACGCGCAGGGTTGCAGATGACCTTGGTCATGACACTGGGCCCAGGTTGTGGAGGGCGGTAGATGCTATGCATGTCTACTATCACCATGAAGCAATTCACGCACAAGTCACCATTCCTGCTCCTACCCTGTTGTAGAGCACGCGGTGGACATCGTCGGAACCGACGGTTGAACTGTGGTCGTCGTCCGGGAATCCACCTCACGGCATATTGGCGCATTCCTCAACACGATAGAGGGACACGCAACGATTGCGCTACGAGACATACTCACTCCGTCGTGCCTTGGGCCCCGATCTAGAGCTCCGTACGCAACCGTATAACGACTAGTAGTATAGGCAGGAGGATGAGACAAGACCAGGAAGACTGGTATGGTTGGTTCTGCCCTGTCAGCCGGCAGCAGTCCGCCGTATCCAACCGCAGCTCTGCAACCCCTTAGGGTCAAACCCGCATTTTGTTGGCTAGAAGCCTAAAGCCAAAACCACCGAACCACAGGCTAGTTGTCCTGTCGGTTACGATCGGGTAATTAGCTAGGGTAGAGAGACGCTGACCGGTGATGACTAATAAACTAGAAATGGCCACTACGATTTTCCTTGTGTTTGTCAGCAATGTCGTCCTGCCGACGCGCTAAGAATCGTGGTTTGGAAGGTTGCCAAATGACGAGTTAAACCGGTGAGCATTTTGATCTAACTGAAGGGCTGAGTGTCAGGCTGCAATGACTCGTTCTGGATGTGGCCTTTATGACACTGTCTGATGTGGACTCCCAGCCTCTCTCGTGACAGCTTTATGCTTGTTGTGGGGGACCGGGTGGTCTGTGGTACACGTAGACGCGCTTTTCATCCTTGTCATCTCAGTCCCGGTCGTCTTGGCATATGAGCATAGTGAGCCGATGGCAGGAGGGATATAGTGTGGTGGGCGCTGTGCAAGTTTGTCCCACTTTACATTAATTCGTCCATTCCGTAGGGCAGGAGATGGGTGTCATCGTTCGCGACGGTAGCGACAGCGGCGAAGGCGGCGGCGGCGGCGCGATGATGATGATGATGATGACGACGACGACGATGATGATGGTGGCGGTGGTGGTGGTGGTGGTGGTGGTGGTGGTGGTGGTGGCGGCGGCGGCGGCGATTTACATAGTCAACATACGTTGAGTGTTGTTCATGTTTTACCGATACCCCAGCTCTCATATTTAAGTCATTTAGTAAAGAGGCTGTTGTCAAAGGAAGTGAAGAATATCCACGTATGAAGGCGAAATTTCGAGTTCCAGGTGTATACATAGTTGAAGAAGAAGAAGAAGAATCGAGCACCGGAACAATTCGTTTATTATCTTGAGCTTTTAGACTCGTACAGGAGCCCATCGTCAGAGGTAGTGGCAGAAACAGGACAAGCGGCAGTTATAAGGCAGGTAGACCCAATCATCGACCGACGTCGCACGACTGGAGGTGACTACGAAGGGCTCTGTACGCCGGCGACAGATCGATAAATCGATCGACCGAGTTCTCATCCGAGGCCCAGGCTTCAATCAATTCTCGGCCTGTTTTGTTTCCGGCGTGGGCAACTATTTTGGTGGCTGCGAAGTCAAACTCGTGACCCATTTCGTAGGTAAGGGCGGCCACTTGTGACAATGCGTCGCCTCGCCTCACAGCCAGCTTATGTTCATGTATGCGCGATCCGAGCATGCGTCCAGTCTGTCCTGTGTAATTACAAGGTCAATTTTGACACGGAATGCGATACACTACTCCAGATTGCTCTTCGGGTTTTAACCGGTCTTTGATCTTCATGACCCTGTTGCGCATGGTGGCTTTGGGGCGGTGTGCGATTCCAACCCCTAGCTCCGCAGCAATGCGCTCGGTCGATTCTGAAACACCCTTGATGTATGGCAGAGAATGCCATATCGTCGGTGGCGTTGATGTTTGAGTTCTCTGGTGGCGACCGCGTAGGCAGCGACTTATAAATGCCCTCGGATAGCCATTTTGCACAAACTGGTCGCGGAGATAACGGGCCTCACGCGCTCTACCTTCCAGTTTGCTGCAATGAGTTTGGATCCGTTTGAAGAGTGTCTTCACACAGCTTCGTTTGTGAGCCACCGGATGATTGCTGTGAAAACTGAGAAGCTGTGTGGTGTTCGTTTCCTTCTTATAAACCGTCGTTTCAAGTTCACCGTTAAGGTTTCGTCTGACGAGCACATCCAGGAAGGGCAACTGCTGCTCCTGTTCTTCTTCTCTCGTGAATTTTATATCCGGGAAGACTGCGTTGAGCAGGCAGTGAAAATGTTGCAGCATGTCCTTCTTTACGATGACGAACGTGTCGTCAACGTAACGTCGCCAAAACACCGGTTCATGTTGGAGGAAGGCAATCTTTTCCAACTCCTGTAGGACCAGTTCTGCCACCAAACCGGAGACCGGTGAGCCCATTGGGGTTCCCTTGATTTGTTCATAGGTCTCTCCCGCAAAAGTGAAGAAAGTTTGTTGGCAGAATTCAAACAGCCTCATGAGGTGTTCAATTTTGAGGGCATTCTGAGTCTCATCGTACGCCTCTTCAAGTCTCTTGCGCAAGACTTCGCGGGCCACGTTCGGTGGGATAGATGTAAATAACGACGTCACGTCGAAGGAGACCATGATTTCGTCCGATTGAATTCTCCGACCTCGGAGGTCTATGAGGAATTGAGAGGCTGATCGAACTGAGGTAGTCGAATTGCCTTGGAGGAACTTCAGTTTTGAGTACATCCACTTTGCCAACTTGTAGGTGGGGCTGCCTTTTAGGGCAACGATTGGCCGAAGTGGGACATTTGCTTTATGGATGACGATGGACTCCTGTACGAGTCTGAAAGCTCAGGATAATAAACGAATTGTTCCGGTGCTCGATTCTTCTTCTTCTTCGAATATCCACGCGTTCGATAAGCACAAATTAAAATGTCCGAAGTTTATGTAAAATTGGTTGGGACTCACCTGATCTTCAAAATGCCGGAGTGCGCGAAGCATCTCAACGGATGTCATGTGGTACATCCGAGAGCGGCACACGGATTTGCATTAGACACCGACGCTGGAAGTCGAGTCAAAAGACCCGCGGAATGCATACTTTCCATAGGAACACCCTTAAAGGGTTAGCCTCCGAGATCTTTCACAATTCAAGTCACTATAGGTTTGGCCAGACTTTGTCTCCATCGTCAGTTCCAAAATTGTAGAGTAGGAACTCTGCTTTGATGGGACCCCGACGGGTCTTTTGTAAAAAAATTATTATTATTAACTCCGGAGAATCTCTCCGCTTCCGTTGCCATTCAATGTGCACTCTGCCCCCTGACTGCGAGAAACGTTCACTCAGTGTATTTCACATTGTAGGACATGTGAGGCACACATAGAGGAGCCGCCTGGTCCCGTCCCCGCTCGTCTTGATTCTGCCTTCGAAGAGGGCTTAGGTGGGCGGGGGGGAGAGTGCGCTAGGGGTTGCACAAGTCTGCTGTCGCTTTGAACCAATTTACGTGAAGTCACGGTCCCTGCGAAAACTGTGCTGTGGGTCAAACGGTGGACAGCGTTATAATCGACGGCTGAACTGCCATTTCATGTCATTTTATCTTATATAAATGTCATTATATCTTCCAGATTTTTGAAAGCACAGAAATTGCGCAAATATTTTGCTAACCGGTATCTCTCGTCGATCAATATTGTTGCAAACTTCAAGACTTTGTTTTTGAACTACTGAACAAATCAGGGCTTTTAAATACCACTTTTCCATACCCTCTTCCTCCTACCCCAATGCCGCAAGGCTCAAGTATTCGATGCAAACTCGTTTTTGCACTCGAGGGCCTACCCAAGGGTAATGCAAAACGCAAAAACATTGGGGGTTGGCTTCGACAAACTAGGAATGTTATTTCACGCCAACGAAATTCCAAGGGTTGTCGTTGACAGTGACAGGTCCATAAGGCCTCTTGCCGGATGCCGCTGGGTGTAACTGTTGGTTTAAACAACCTGCATGTCTCAGGATTAAAGGACTTGAACGATTCTTTGCAACTCTATGCCGTGTCCGGGGGACGACGGGAAGACTTCGAAGTCCCATACAAGGCAGCAGTTGGAAATTTGAGAACAGGATTAAAAACGTTCAGGGAAAATGTCAGGAAACTAGGACTCGGCCATCAACAGACTGTCCTGTTGGAAGTATTGGACGAAGACTGAAAAATGTCGTTTATTCTTTGAGTAGGATGCTTCTTCATCTTGTTACAAAGGACCTTCTCAGATTGACAAAGTTGAGGGGTCCGGGTTGATGTTTTGAAAAAAAGACAATCACTGAACACGAAGACAAGTCACCTCTACCGCTCTTTCAGAAAAGACGTACTTACAGGTGGGTGATGCAGTATGCGCAGTGAGGAAATAAAAAGGACTGACCAAACCAGATGGCCACTCAAAATGCCTTTGCGGCTTGCCATGCATGGCAGGGTTGATGATAGACAGTTGAATCAACCGTTTAAGAAGGTGAGCCAGTTCCGGAGATCCACTTTCTCCCCAAGCCTATTTTATTTTGACTGAGGACCGCCTAATTAAATATATTTTGAAACCTGATCAGTGAATGCTTTTTTTGAATTTTTATTTGTGAGTCGAGGGGTCATTTAAAAAATGTCAATTTGCATTTTTTGCGTAACATAATACCGTATTCAGAGCCCTCTGTGCACCACATTATCTGTCGCGAAGTTCCAGCGCGCTACAGTAGGCGGCAGAAATATAGAGGACCACTTTAGTCCATCTAAAACATCCTGCACGTCTACCAGAAAGCAGTCGGGGAACGCTGGGAGACCCACTGACAAGCCGAATGTCTCACAGCTGCGCCATGCAGCGGCAGAATATCGACGAAACACGAGTGTATGGGCTTTTGGCTAGTACCTGTGCTGTGAGTACGGTATCACCTTACCCTAAATGTCACATATTCACCGAACCTTTTCCGTGGAAAGTTCTCTTCTAATGTAAAACATTTTTCGGGGTCCTCAGCACGGACTAGCCTGTAAAAATGTCACCCTCTGTTCCTAGGACATCCGTATTGGAACCTAGGTTCAAATTGTATGCGGTTGACCGACCACCACACTTCATGTTGAACTAATTTTTGGAGGATAGTTAAGAGCAGATTTCACGAATGAACTATTTTTAATGTTGTTGCACTTTTTTCTGTTTTGGGTACTAGGTTGAGTGGGGAGGCTTGAGGTACTTCTAAAACTTGACTATATTATTAGCGTTTTCGGAATTTCCCAATTTTCAACAGAAAATTGTTATTTCTACGCAATGTAATGTTACTTCTAATACTTATTTGACGTCTTCATTTTACATAACGTTGTTCATGATTAATTGCGAGAAAATATTAAGACATTTTTGTATAGTCTAGTTTCCACCATTACGTAATTCAGAACGGAAACAGGCAGATTATTAGCAGTGTTAGCGATATCTTCGTGTTTATAGGACCACTCTTTTGTGCACTTGCGGAATCCGAAATGAAGCAATGATCGCGAGAGTGCCTCCAATATCAAGTGAAGAGTGAGTTCTTTCGTCATCAGCAGAAGAATCACCAGTTTTTCAGGAAAGTGAGAAGCTAGTTAGATGTGCATTTTTTCCCCGAATTTCTCTCCGAAAAAGGAAAGCACGTGGAAATCCGTCAACGAAACACCTTATTTAAGCGCTCTTTTGAGAGGTTACTCATAAGAGAAGGCTTTTAGCTGATCTAGAGCATATTAATCGCCGACTTTCCTTGTGAACCTTCACTTTTAACAGCGATGAGGTTTCCAGATCTGGTAATTCTACGAATATGACGCCAACGGCAATCTGAAGTAGAAAATATCTTCAAGAACCCCTTACTTTGGTAAATGCTTGCAAAAAATGTCTTTTTAGGGTCTTGCCAGATAAATGGCACAGAACCCATAATTATGGTCAGTGAATTTGGAACACAAAAATCCGCAAAGTATCCGCTAACACTTTAGTAAACTTTAACGGTACGGATCGATAATCTGGTCGATTTTCGCACAAAACATTTTGATAACGGACCGCCGACCATGTCCTCCAAAACGCCAGCCACACAATTCTCCTGATTCGGTGAGCCATTCACATTTCTCACGGTTCAAGGACACCCTGAAACTCAACAGAATCCATCGTCACTAAAAAGGACACAGATATTTTACGGAAGAACAGTACTCCTAACATTCATAAATGATTTGCCTATTATTGCATGTGCGTATTCTGGTCAGATTTACTAGTCACTGACTGACCTTTCAACATATCGTCTAATGAAAACTATTATTCCTCTGGCATCCCTATCGGCGAAATCGTGCTTTATTTACTCGAACTTTTGTACGAACAGGTTGTATGTTCTTGAAGAAGGAGACACGATCGCCGGGACAAGAGCTTTATTAGCCTGACGTTTCGGATTCCTGCTCGAACCCATCATCAGACACAAAAGCAGATACGGGTGGTTGCTGCACAAGGGGCTGCGGTATTTATAGGATGCAGTAGCCATGCTACCGCATACCTACGAACATTCACGGCTCCCCCCTTTCATCCGGGATCGTCGCACTTGGTGGTTGTATGTTCCTCTAAAACTTGAGATTATTCAGTTGAAACATTTTTTCGTGTCATCGCTAACTCCTCCATTTCTTAAAAAAATGGTCATTCCTAAACAACGTAGTATCGATTTTGCTATCTCTTTGATGATTTTATTTCATCTGAAATCATTCATTGGGAGTTTTGGGGGTTGTATTTCGACCGGTTTCCGAGAAATTAGATATTTTTACGTAAATGTACGCATTTCGCGAACTGTGTCAGTTACTGTATTTATGTATTACTTTCAGTCCCTATTGGTTCAACAGAATGGTCCCTGTTAAGCGGAAATGTGGTTTTGCCTACATGTTGTGCTATAAGCAGCAGGTGTGCCACACCCGTACGCAGGCCGCATGTGGACTCTAGCTAGAACGTTGTTATTTCATTTCCGTTGACGCGGCATGGTGCAGTTTTGGAAGACCAACTGAACCCTGTTGTGTCTGTTCTGTGCATAGTGAGTTTGTTTTGAGCAACTTCGGAACAGTCAACAAGGGTAGGGAGGGAGGTTGAATGAAACGCGCTGACCGAGGCAGCCATGGAGTAGAGGCAGAATGTATGCTCTGAGGAATGGTTGACTGAGAGCTGCCCATGAGAAAAAAATATTTTTGTCGTGGTTGAAAAACGAGGATTCGTGGGCTGGCTTCTGGGCCTGGCTTATAAAGTGCAAATGTTAGTTGAACGCGGGAGTAAGCCCGCATTCCCTCCCCACCCCCTTATGCCGGATGGCCTTGAGATGAATTCTGTGGGATGCCTATTCCCGTAAGCCAACGCTAACCCTAACCTTCCCAGAGGGGGAGGGTACACATTCCCGCGCCTTGCCCAAAGTGTTTGGGACTCTTCCATAAATTTGACACGAGTTCTCGATACCGAAATGCCCGTTGCATAACTCGTCTGGAGGGTAATATGTCTGAAAGCTAACACAAGTAAATCACGTAGAAGTACCCTCACAAATGAACTGACCGTTCCGTCAAATGTGAGTCAAAAAGACCCCGCTGCTGATGCTGGCAAACGGCAGTTCGACCGTCGTGCTTGACGATGTCTACTATGCGCTCCACAGCAGAGTGGAACAGGCAGAGTGATTTGTAAGTGACTTAGTTTATAGTAGTGGCAGACTTGCTCAGCATCTGCCGCACTCTTTCCTCCCCCACCTGGACCCGGTG